AGGGCTGAGGGGTGCAGGCAGACGGGAGGGGTGCAGGCAGGGCTAAGGAGCAGGCCCAGTGCGTGTCTTTTCACGGGAGGGAAATGAAAAGGAAATGAAATCCTCACTTGTGTTAAAGCCTCAGAGGAAAACTTTTGGGGTCTGGCCTCCTTCCGAGCCCAGGAGCTGCTCCCAGTGTGTGTGCCTGGTTGGCATGAGGTCTGAGTGGTGAGCTCTGCAGCCCTGGCTCTTTTGGTTTGCCTTTAACTTCCCAACCATTAATTTCACTGAGTGGCCTTTTAAATGCCTTGGCTGAATCTTTCCTGGCTCTTCTCCCTCCTGGGTTAAATCCATCCCAGCTCCTGCAGGCTCTCCTTGGCTGCCTGGGACCTGCTCTGATGCTTAGCCCCTCGTGGCCAGCACTGGGATGTTTTCTCTTGCCCGTGGGCTCAGGGCTACTGGTTCAAAGCATCTCTCTGTAGTGAGCAGCTTCAGTGGCCAAAAGCTGAGGGTGTGAAAGAGGCAGGAAATGATTCCTTTTCCCAGGGGTGATGGCATCATGGGTGTGTGGCACCTCCTGGTCTGAGTAGTGAGAACCTGAAGCCACCATGTCTGGAGAAGCCCAGTGTGGTGGGGAAAGGCAAGGCTGGGATGCTGCTCCCTGGGCTGGCTTGGGATGGCACCAGCGTGGGTGGTTTCATTAGAGGTGAATCCATCGCAGGTGGGATCACATCCCCCTTCCACAGACCTTGGGAAAGGTGTCAGACTCTTCCTGGCATGGCCACTGGTGCCAGTGGTGCCAGTAACACAGCTGTGGGATTTGGGCACGGAGGGAGTGGAGAAGGGATGTGCTGCCTGGTGATGAATCCCACCTCCTTTTTTTCACTGGGGCTAAGATGGCTTTTATTACAATGGTGTGCTAAGGATGGAGAGGAAGACAGAAAGGTGTGGCTGTCCTGTTGCTTGGAAGTGCTTTGGCTTTAGGGCTTGGAGGTGGGCCAGGCAGGAGGAGAGAGCTGAGTCTGGGGGTGCTTTCCTGGGCCCCAACTCCCCCTTTCTTCTGCCTCCCCTTCCCATTCACTCAGGTCGACAGATGCCAGTGTCTGCTACCACTTCTCCTGACAGGGGCTGCTCCTGGAGCAGGGTGGGTAAGCCCTAGACATGGCTGAAGGATCTGCAGGGTGCCTGCAGGAAAGCTGGGCAGGGACTTTTTACAAGGGCAGACAGTGATAGGATGAGGGGGAAGGTTTTCATACTGGGAGAGGGGAGATTTAGGTTAGACATTGGGAAGGAAGAAATCCTTTCCTGTGAGGGTGGTGAGACACAGACCCAGGTTGCCCAGGGAAGCTGTGCTGCCCCATCCCTGGCAGTGTTGAAGGGCAGGTTGGATGGGGCTTGGAGCAGCCTGGGCTGGTGGGAGGTGTCCCTGCCCATGGGGGTGGGTTAGAACTGGATGATCTTTAAGGTCCCTTCCAACCCAAACCGTTCCATGGTTCTGTGATGGAGAAAGGGGTGGTGGTGGCTAACGAAGGGTGGGCTGCAAGGTTGTGGTCATCACCCACCTCTTCTCTTTTCCTTAACTCCCCTCTACTCCCTTCGAGTACATGATCCTGGCCACCATCATTGCCAACTGCATCGTGCTGGCCCTGGAGCAGCACCTCCCTGAGGATGACAAGACGCCCATGTCACGGAGATTAGTAAGTGATCCATCCCTCTCCTCCCTGTGGGGGTGTGGGGAGGCCACCTGGGGAGAGTTACCCCATCCTACCAGCCAAATCCTGCTGGTTTCAGGGTGGTGGGGCAGGAGGTTTCCTCCAGGACCCATCCTTCCAGCTTTTCCCTTCCTGCTGTCACATATTCCTCCTCCGTGGGAAGGTTTTTAGGAAAGTTTAAGCTCCTTCAAAGGTGGGGCAGGGAAGGGGGACTGGGCAACTTGTGTGGGTCCTGGCCCCCACTTTTTGTTTTTAAGGTTGATGCTGGTGGAGGGAAGGGCTGGGAAAGCTCCCAAAGGGGAGGATGGGGCTGTGGGAGGTGGGATGGGATGACAGCTGGGTCAGTGTGAAATAGCTAGTGTTGGGGTTGCTCCATCACCCCCTCTGTCCCCCTCACTGGGTTTCCCTCCTGCAGGAGAAGACAGAGCCCTACTTCATTGGGATTTTCTGCTTTGAGGCTGGGATCAAGATTGTGGCTCTGGGCTTTGTGTTCCACAAGGGCTCCTACCTGCGCAACGGCTGGAACGTCATGGACTTCATCGTGGTCCTCAGTGGGTGAGTCAGGCAGTGCAGGACCAGGGGTGGGGTTGGGCACAGGGGCTCATCCCTGTGGGGACACAAGCCCCAGGACACTGGTTTGCTGTTGTCAGTGGTCGTTCTTTATCCTAACAAGGGAGGGGATGATGGTTCAGGCATCTGGGCATGGGGTGAGGTGGGGATTGGGTGGGAGTACAGGCTGATGAGCAACTGGACATGGTTTGGGAGAGGTCTGAGTACCCAAGGGGAGGGCTCCTCTTGCCTCCCAAGTCTCCTCTTGCCTCCCCAAGTTCTTTACAACCTTCTTTACAACCCCAGCCAGGTGCTGGGGGTTTGGGAACAAGGTCCAGGTGGGGCTTTGGGAACAAGGTCCAGGTGGAGCTGTGTTCCTAGGTGATGCTCACTGGGCATCCCAGGGTGCAGCAGTGATGCTGGGGGGGGGGGATGCACAGGGCTTTGTGGGTGCTGGTTGTATCACTGTGGTGTCACCTGCTGGGGAGGTGGCCCAGATTTGAGTCCTGCTTGTGGTGTGATGGGCTGTGCTGGTGACATAGAAACAAGCAGGAACATTTGGGCTCGTGTCAGCCAGCACTGGCAGGTGGCTGGAGGAGAAGCCCCCTGGCCCCTCGTTGGGGGGGGG